CCCGCCCTGCGGCCCCGGGCGGTTGCTAAGCTCTCCAAGGCCTCGGAGACGCTATCTGGGCGAACCTCATCAGTTACCATGGTAACTCTGTGCCCCAGCCTCTAGTGCTGGGCCACTGAGGGAGATGCAGCCAATCAGAAGCTGCGGGTGTTTTCGGGGACCCTCCCCGTATGTGGGCGGGGGTCAGGAAGTGCGGGAGAAGGCGACGCGGTGCTTACAGCAATCGAGGTGCCCCCTCCTGCGCTCGGGGACACTTCCGGAGCAGCACTGAAGGGCCGGTGCGGGGCCCCTGCTCCCAGAAGAGGCGTCACTCACAGAAGCCGGCCTCCACGTGGGGTCTAGGACCTTTTGGGGAAGTCCCAAGCCGCAGGCCCTTCTGACATGTTTCTCTTGGCGGGTTAGGTTGGAGAAAAAGTTACTCTCTCGAGGATCCTCATAACCACTCACGCGGGGATTCTGGGGGCTGGGGGTTGTTCAGACGTTTGCAGTCGACTATCCTGGGGTCCTAACCGGCTCAGAGCGGGCTTTTCAGCGACACCCCAGATTCATGGTGGGGGTAGCTGTACGTGAAAGCCCCTGGAGCATCTCGGAGATCTGGGGCTCTGAGAGGAGGTGCTGTCTGTGTAAACTCGCGCTCTACCAAGTGTCACTGCCTGGACAGGGTCTGGGTGCAGAGAGGGTGCGCTGTGCAGATCTACCACATGTGTCTGAGGGAAGGCGGGCGTGTGGTGAATGGGTCTAAGGGGACAGTCGAGTCCAGTAGTGTTTCAAAGGAGTCCCTCGATCTTACCTACCTTCATCTTAAGATTTCCTAACTTTCCTCTCCCTACGGGTACCATAATCTCCTTGACAGCAGGACTTTTCCGAAAAGGGGCTCTATTCATAGAAATACGTACACCTCAGCTCAAAACCCCAAGGTTTATGGGACTCGCAGTTCAGGATCCGAATTCCCGGGTGAGCACATCTGGAAGAGTGAATCTGCAGATAGCCCCCCCCCCCCCGCCCCGCCCGCATCTGCGAGCCAGCAGCCCAGGTGCGCGGGAGGGAGGTCGCGGCCTTGCCGCGCAGAGCGCCGTGCAGCCGCGAGGTGGCGCCATAGTTGCAGCAGCTCCTGCTTGCTCCGGCCGCTCCAGATAAGAGTGTGCGGAAAGCGCGGCGGGGCTGAGACGCGACCAGGACGCGGGGAGGACGGACCAGCAGGACAGACCGACCGGGGGCCCGGCGGGCGGAGGGCAGCGCAGCCACGTCCCCCCCTGGATCCGCCGGCAGCCGGGCCCGGGGCTTCCGACATGCCCCCCAGGTGGGTCCTCGAGCTGGTGACTGAGAGGGACAGGGAACCCGGGACAGCCCAGTTCTCGTGTGCTGGCTGCCTCTGGCGCATCCTCTGGCGCGGATGCCCTATCGCGGTTGGCAGCTGGCGTTCAGGGTTCCGGGTGTCTCCCCTAGAGGACTCAGGACGACCAGGCTTCTGCTTCGTTGCGGGTTCATGGAGGGGTCAGCGGCCCGGGGCCGTCTCTGCCTGCACATGGGCTAGAGAGGCGAGGGGAAAGGAAGGGGAGCTGTCGGGCGGGGCTGGCAGGGGCGCTGCCCTGGCACAGCTCGGCGCCTGGCAGCGGGGCGGGTGGGGCGCGGGCTAGGAGCTGCCACCGCCGCGGGCAAAGAAGCCCGGCAGGGCTGCAGCTGTAGGTAACGGGCCGGAGGCCCTGCACACCAGGAAGGGAATAGGGCAAGGCGGCCAGCGGGCGGGCAGGGGAGCTCAGGGATAAACTCGGGGCCGCATCTGCCTGGCCGCCAGGATTGGGGCGGAGGGGGAAGGCTGGGAGCCGGGGGACTCGGGTTAGCGCGCTCCTCTCGCCCAGTCTGAAGTTGGAAAACTTTTCCCCAAGTTTGAGGTGGCAGAATTCCGGGACAGAAGTGGCGAGGGGAGTTGGGAAGGGAGGCGCTGGGTCCGCCAATGTAGAGCCGAGGCCGAGGCCGGTCCAGAACGCGGGTGGGGCGCAGGCCGGGGTCAGGGCCGCAGCGGGCTGCGTGCTGTGCCCGCCCGGGGCGCTGCCCCCTCCCTCCCCTGGGAGCTGCGTGGCTCCCCCCTCCCCCCCACCTGCTTCCTGCCTCAGCCTCCTGCTCTGATATAACGCCCTCCCCGCGCCGAGGCCCGACCTTCGTTCTCTGCCCGCCACGGCAGCCGCTGCCTCCGCTCCCGGTGCCGCTGCCCCTACTCCAAACAAGGGTTTGACAGCCCCCCGCCAGGGCTGCGCTGCGGTGGGCACCTCGCTCCCGTCCTCCGAATCACTTCCTCCAGCTGGGGCAACTTCTCCCGAGGCGGGAGACTCTTCTTAACTCGGCTCCTTTTCTCCCCACTTGGGCAAACTTCTTGGCCCTGAATGACTTTTCTTGAAGCGGATATTTTACTTAAGTAGGGTAACTGTCTCTGAAAGGGTGACTTCGCCTGAACAGTTTTCTCTTGGAAGTCCCCACCACCCAGCCCATGGGCCCCGCAGTGTCTGGGCCTGAGGCACACAGGCCAGCCTAGCCTCCTCTCCATCCGCAGCCGTTCTCCTGCGCCTTCTTCTGGCCTACTGGCCTAGGCCGCCACTCCCGCAGGCCCCGATCCTCCTGCACCAGTGCCCAGGCCGTGGCTCTCCATGACGCCCCTGTTCTGCTGAGGGGAAGGGAAAGTGGAGGGGAGAAGTGCTGGGCTGGGTGCAGGCGGCCAGGGCGCTGCGCGGCTCTTACCCGGCTGGTGTGTGTCCCCGCAGGAGAGTGTGCTGGGCAGACGATGCTGGACACGATGGAGGCGCCCGGCCACTCGAGGCAGCTGCTGCTGCAGCTCAACAACCAGCGCACCAAGGGCTTCTTGTGCGACGTGATCATCGTGGTGCAAAACGCCCTCTTCCGCGCGCACAAGAACGTGCTGGCGGCCAGCAGTGCCTACCTCAAGTCCCTGGTGGTGCATGACAATCTGCTCAATCTGGACCATGACATGGTGAGCCCGGCCGTGTTCCGCCTGGTGCTGGACTTCATCTACACAGGCCGTCTGGCTGACGGTGCAGAGGCAGCTGCAGCGGCGGCCGTGGCCCCAGGGGCCGAGCCAAGCCTGGGTGCGGTGCTGGCTGCAGCCAGTTACTTGCAGATCCCTGACCTCGTGGCGCTGTGTAAGAAGCGCCTCAAGCGCCATGGCAAGTACTGTCACCTGAGAGGAGGTGGCAGTGGTGGCGGTGGTTATGCGCCCTACGGGAGGCCAGGCCGTGGCTTGAGGGCCACCACGCCCGTCATTCAGACTTGCTACTCGTCTCCAGCCGGGCCTCCCCCACCGCCCACCTCCGAGCCGCCGGCGGGCCCAGAGGCCTCGGTCAACACGCACTGTGCTGAGCTGTACGCCTCGGGGCCCGGCCCTGCCGCTGCCCTGTGCGCCCCAGAGCGCCGCTGCTCTCCGCTCTGCGGCCTGGACCTATCCAAGAAGAGCCCGCCGGGCTCTGCGGTTCCCGAGCGGCCCCTGAGTGAGCGCGAGCTGCCCCCGCGGCCGGACAGCCCTCCCAGCGCCGGCCCCGCCGCCTACAAGGAGCCCCCGCTCGCTCTGCCGCCGCTGCCGTCGCTGGCCTTCCAAAAGCTGGAGGAGGCCGCGCCCCCGCCGGACCCGTTTCGTGGCAGTGGCAACAGCCCGGGACCCGAGCCCCCTGGTCGCCCCGACGGACCCAGCCTCCTCTACCGCTGGATGAAGCACGAGCCGGGGCTGAGTAGCTACGGTGACGAGCTGATCCGGGAGCGCGGCTCCCCGGGTGAACGCTGCGAGGAGCGTGGTGGCGACCCGGCCATCTCACCTGGGGGCCCCCCGCTCGGCCTGGTGCCGCCGCCGCGATACCCTGGCAGCCTGGACGGGCCCGGCGCGGGCGGCGATGGCGACGACTACAAGAGCAGCAGCGAGGAGACTGGTAGCAGCGAGGATCCCAGCCCCCCTGGTGGCCACCTCGAGGGCTACCCCTGCCCGCACCTGGCTTACGGAGAGCCGGAGAGTTTTGGGGACAATTTGTACGTGTGCATTCCGTGCGGCAAGGGCTTTCCCAGCTCCGAGCAGCTGAATGCGCACGTGGAGGCTCATGTAGAGGAGGAGGAGGCGCTGTATGGCAGGGCCGAGGCGGCTGAGGTGGCGGCCGGGCCCCCTTTTGGGGGCGGTGGGGACAAGGTCCCTGGAGCTCCTGGTAGCCTAGGAGAGCTGCTGCGGCCATACCGCTGCGCATCCTGTGACAAGAGCTACAAAGACCCAGCCACGCTGCGACAGCACGAGAAGACGCACTGGCTAACCCGGCCTTATCCGTGCACCATATGTGGGAAGAAGTTCACGCAACGCGGGACCATGACGCGCCACATGCGCAGCCATCTGGGCCTCAAGCCCTTCGCATGCGACGCTTGCGGCATGCGCTTCACGCGCCAGTACCGCCTCACGGAGCACATGCGCATCCACTCAGGCGAGAAGCCCTACGAGTGCCAAGTGTGTGGCGGCAAGTTCGCACAGCAACGCAACCTCATCAGCCACATGAAGATGCACGCTGTGGGCGGCGCGGCGGGCGCAGCCGGAGCGCTGGCTGGTCTAGGGGGCCTACCCGGCGTCCCGGGTCCCGACGGCAAAGGCAAGCTTGATTTCCCCGAGGGAGTCTTTGCTGTGGCGCGACTCACGGCAGAACAGCTGAGCCTGAAGCAACAGGACAAGGCGGCTGCGGCCGAGCTGCTGGCGCAGACCACGCACTTCCTGCACGACCCCAAGGTGGCGCTCGAGAGCCTCTACCCGCTGGCTAAGTTCACCGCGGAGCTGGGCCTCAGCCCAGATAAGGCGGCGGAGGTGCTGAGCCAGGGCACTCACCTGGCCGCGGGTCCCGACGGCCGGACCATCGACCGTTTCTCTCCCACCTAGAGCACTTCTCGGCGGCTGGCCTTGCCGCAGCCCCGCGTGCGGCCTGGCCCATCCTCCTAGAGCGCGGGTTGAGAGCGAGCGGGCACTTCCCGGCCCGCCCGCCCGGACACTGGTAGCAGCGGTAGCGGTGCCGCTGTGGCGGCCCCACCTGACCTCACTGCTTTGTGCCTTAGCCCGGGGTTGGGGGAAAACCCCGGGTCGGGGGTGGGATGGGGGAAGGGAGATTTATATTTTTGATATCAGCGTTGACCAAAGGAGACCCCCGGCCTCTTCCCACCTCTTCCTGTGGTTTGTTGGCCCCCTCCTCCCGGCTCCGTGCTGCTCGTTGGTGAGGAGGGGTGTCACTGTGGAGGCGCTCCCAGCTCCCAGCCCTACCTCCGGCCCTTGCGACCACACCCATTCTCACTGTGAATCTCCCTGCTGGGGTCGGAGCACCGGGCAGAGTTGGGGAGAGAGGAGGGGACTGAGCCTGCCGGAGGGCCCTTCTCACCTCAGCTCCAGCCCGCCCCGGGACTGATAATGTGAAGTTCCTCATTTTGCACAAGTGGCACTAGCCCCAGGGCCAACCACCAAGGCCGGGAGTTCTGGAGCCAGGGCACAGACAGCCCTGGCCTACCTGGTCTCCCGCTCCTGCGGTGTCCCCGTCCCTTCCCTTCCCTGGGGCCCCGGACCATATTTATTGCATGCGCCCCGGGTGGCCCCCGTCCCAAGCCCAGTCTGGGCTGGAATTCAGTCTCCTTAGCTCCCTCCTCCTAAGTTTGTATATTTCCTATCTTGTACACAGGCTCTTCCAGAGCCGCTTCCATTTTCTATACTCGAACCAAACAGCAATAAAGCAGTAACCAAGGTCCCCAACCCTTGCCACTCTCTTCTGCCCCTACACAAGAACCTTGATGGGCTGCAGCAGGGTGGGTGAGAGTGTGCATGGACACCCCGGTGTACAGGGTTGACCTTCCCTACCCCCAGAAATAGGCAGGAGTCAGGTAATTTTATAACTAAAATTTATTAAGGAAACACAACCAGTGTTGTAAATGGGACAGAGAAAAAGAGATGGGTCTCCCACCCACCCAGTCACTGGCGTCAGCCAGGGAAAAGTCAAAGGAGAACCAGGACCCCATACTCTCAAGGGGCCAGTCTTCTGAGCCTTGAGGCCCTGAGGGATTTATGTCCCTGAGCCACTGGCCTTGGTGCTCCTGCACTGCTCCCCTCCTTCTGGCATACTCTGGGGCCTCTGGGAGGGCACGGAATACTTCCATGCTCTGGGCAGGCTGTACAGTCAAATAGTAGACTGGGGAGATCAGCCTACTGGTCCCAGCAAGATTTACCCTTCCTTCACCTAAGACCCTGCTTTCTCTTCTACTGCCTCCTCATCCCTGGGTTGGAGGAACTCATTTGGTGGAGAAAGCCTCCGTGAGATTGCAAACATTGGGTACTAGCTAAAGAGGCAACAAAAAACTTTCAAGCTAAAGGGCTCTGTGCCAGTTTTGGGAAGTGGAGGGTAAAGCTGGAAAGAAGGTAAATGCTTCAGGCTGTGTAATACTCCTCTAGGCACTGACCATCCTACCCACAGACTGGGCTGTACCAGTCTGGAAACTTCCTACAACACAGGGGCCTGGGGAGCAAGTGGGAATGCCTTGCCTTATTAGTTTCCTGCTGCAGGTAGCTGACCCCCATGGCAAGGAACTGAGGTTAGGAAGTTAAGAGGCCTGGGAAGGGTAAAAGCGAAAAAAGGAGAGGATGAAGAGATGCTCTGGGTGGCCAAGGGCCAAGGGTAGTGGTGAGAAGAGTCAAGAAATTTCTGGAAGAGGGAACTAAAGCCAAAGGTAGGTGGTACAGTGCCTGCCTGGCAAGCCTGAAGTTCTGAGTTTGATTCCCAGCACCCCTTCAAAAAAGGCAGGCAAATGAGAGGAACATGAGAAGGCCACCCAGGAAGCACAGGCCTGAGACCAGATGTCTCTTCCCTGTAGGCCCATGACAGTCTAAGGGAAAACAGGAGACAAAGTGCAAGAGACCCAGATTGATGGGGACAGGAAGCGGAGTAGCAGGATGGGTGTGTGTGTTCAGGACCAAGGCTGCTGTTAGGGACAGGTTGTCCAGAACCTAACTTGGGTCCATGGGGGATCCAAGCCTCAGGAAGCTGGAGACACCCCCTGGACACTCTTCATGATATAGCCTAAGCCTCTTGGACACATTTAGGACAGATTCTATAGATGAAAAGGACTTGTGATGTCACCTACATCTGAAGGAAACACTAGAATCCTGCCCCATTGCCATGAGAGAAAGCGGGGTAGTCCCCGGGTAAGCAGGCCTTTCCCATCCCTGGAATGAAGCTGGAGGGAGAGGTTGAGGCATGGGCAGCTCGTTCGGCTTGCCAACTGTTCTGCTGTGGCTAGCCACCTCCCCACTAAATCTTGGCAGCCCAGGCGGGTTCCAGCAGCTTCCACCAGCCCTTGGGGGTCTCTGTGAGGAGCAACTCCCCCACAGCATGGCCACGGTGTGGGTTGGAAGAGGATGGTTTATTGTCAGGGTGGTTTGGTGGCTCAGGCACGTGGGCATCTTCCGTGCTACACTTGGCGCCTTGTGGCTGGTCAGGAATGGTTCCATTGGGGTGGGCCCTATGTGGTCCCCTCAGCCCACCTGGGCCCATGCGAGGAAGGCTGGGATGTCCCGCACAGGCACATTCCTCGTCAGCGCCTTCACACGCAGATTCCGGTCATCAGTCAATAGCACCACCTCCCTCAGCAGACGGATTGGCTCCTCTGTCAGTACAGAAACAAGGGCTTAACAGGACAGGAGACAGGGTATAGGCATTTCCCTGAAAGAAAATGTGGTCCTGGTAGGGGCAAGACAAACTTTTTCTCCAGAATTCAGAATCTGAACCTAGGGTAAGACAGGACCATGCATGGCTACTTCTGCTCTGGACCCTGCCTCCTACACAGGACTCTATTCTGCCATGTGCCTGAGAGGTGCCAAAGACCTATGTCCCAGGCCTGAACTGAGAGAGCAGGAGCCCCTTGCTGTCCACTTCTGACTTCATGCTTGGCCCTGGATTCACAATACCCTCTCTTTGTTGCATTTTCTCCTTCTAAGTCCAGGAGGTTAATACTTTATGCTTCTTGAGGTAGAAAACCAAAGACTAATAGAAAGCAGATACAGTGCTTCCAGGTATGGGGAGAGGGCTTAGCTCAGCAGCACTGAGGCAAGATGAGACAAGCAGGGGTCCCTAACAGAACCATGCCAGGGAGCCTGAAGCTATGAGCAACTTATTTTTTTCCACTGAAGTAATTTACGCACATTTAACAACAGTACAGAAGTGTAAGAAGAAAAAGAGTTGAGATACTCCTAGCTCTGCTACACTTCAGGGAAGGTAGCTTTCCGGATTCTGTTATGCACATTTACAAGTCTGTGTACTTGTGTATCTACATCTGTATCTTAGCTTTTTGTCTTGTTTTGGGTTTTGAGACAGGGTCTCACTATGCAGTTCAGACTGGCCTTGAACTCACAATATAGCCCAGGCTGGCCTTGAATTTATGGCTTTGAATTTATGATCCTCTTGCCTCAGCCTCCTAAGTGCTGGGATTACAGGCATGTGTCACCATACCCAGTTTACTTAAGCTTTTTTTTCTTATAACATCAAGATCATACTAGCCACATTTTATTCAAATTTTATATGCTTTAAAGGTCTTTCTACATCAGCACAGATAGTCTTCATTCTTTTTAGATGGGCTTTTCAGCACAATCTATCTCCTTTCCCTTCTCCAATCTTTGATGTCCTGGGAATAATTTAAAGTAGGCCTAGCCATCACACAGGTGACCCCATCTTGGCATGCCCATTCCTCAGTCCCAGGCTGGGCATTTCCTAGCAGAGATTTGGCAGACAGTGAGGCACAGGAAATGTCCTGCTGTGCTCACTCGTGGACTGTGTGGACTGGTGGGGACAGGGGATTGCAAATATCCACATCTGACCTGAATGGTTTCAGCTTGCCAGCTCCAGGCAGGGAGGCTAAAAACTGGCTTTCAGCCTTGGGTGGAGCCAGAGGGATGCGGAAGAGGCTCATGGAGTTGATGGTGGTAAGAGAAGGGGACAGGAGGAAAAAGGGTATGCTAGAGTCAGAGGCTGTGAGGGGCAGAGGAAGAAAGTGGTGGCTAAGGGTAAGGGGGTGCTGAGATCTCCTCCACTGCCTAGGCCTGGCCCCTCTGGGAGTGAGTGTGGGGTGATGGTATGTGGTACTAGGTGGGGCTCCCAGATAGCTGTCTGGGTCTGTCTGCAGCCCCATCACTCCTGCCTTGGGCCTCGGATCAGGAGAGTCCCAGGCCTTAGGTCAGCCAACCAAGGCCCAGTGTTGCTGGCAGGGGTCTGCAGGGGTTTCTGTGGATACTTTGAGACATTTTTAACAATAAACATCCTCTGTTTTGACACTGGTAACTTCACTTTGTTAGAAACCAGAAACTGTCATCTTGTCAGGCCCCATCCGCCATAATCCACATGATTTTAAAATTCAACATCGTTTACATATAAACATTTGGTGACGGTTTCTCTGTGAATCTGACAAGTTAATCTGCTAAGAATTCACACTGACAAATGAAGTTTGATTACACCAGCCGTTGCTGATGTAATTCTGATAGGGGCAGTCCCCAGGATGGCAATGGGTTCCTATAGGCTGTTTGGGGTGAAGTGGGGGGTGGTAGAAGGACTAGCAGGGCCAAAGCCAAAATGCATCTGTCCTAAGAAACAGTTCTGAGGCTGAGCAGTATATTGAGCCACCTTTCCCAACTAGGCCTTCTCCAATCCTCCTAATCCCTCCATTAGGAGGTACCCTTCAAGGAAGGGTACCTTGGGGCAGCCAGAACTCTTTTTTATCACTTGAACATTCCAGATCTGGCCCTAAGGGACAGTATATGTGAGCCATGTGGCATCCTTCGTGAAACAGCAGTTAGGGGATCATGACTAACTTCAGTTATAGAGACTCAGACAGGAATGAAGGATGTACAAATATGGGTAGGAGGAGAGGCAGGGGGAAGACAATTCTTAGAGCAGTGTGAAAGTCAGGACTAGGAGCATGAACAGAGAAGACAGACAGATGACAGAGATGGAAAAAAAAGACTACATAAATGTAGACAGAAACCAAATGGTGAGAATTACCAGCTCTGCAGATGACAATGAGCTAGGAGGTGCTAGGAATTCCTTCCAAAAGAAGAAATGTCAAAATCCTGGGAGTCAGGAGCAGAAAACCCCTGACTGTCATTGACCTGTGGAGCTGTGCAAGAAGGAAGCTCAGGGTTGAGGGTGAGGTGGGCAGGCTCTTGGAAGAACCCTAGGGTAGGCCTCTAGTTCAAAGGTGAAACTGTTCACTAAAGAATTCCTGAAAATGGGTACAGGCTCAACAGTGAGTTTCTACTTAGTTCCCAACTCCAGCCAGCCTGCAAAATGCTACAGCTCACAGTCACAGAGAGCAGAGAGGAAGGCCAATTCTCATGGGGAAGTACTTTGGCCCCAGCCCAGATATAGGGTAAACAATCTAAGATGATGAGCATGGCCAAGAAAATGGAGTGTGCCCCCAGAGCTTCGAGGGCTGAGCTATGCTGACCATGAGTAGGACTACATGAAAAGGTAATGACACTCTTGCTGTCAGCAGGAGCTCACAGGACTCAAAGAAAAAAAGGTAGATGCAGATCAAGTGGGAAAGTTGTTCATCCCTAGTTGGCCCAGGATCCACCTGACATTCCCTGGGGGTGAGGGAGTTGTGACCAGGTCTGATTTCTGGGAGGGCAGGAAATGGACTGGCTTAGGCTTGCACAGTATTCCCAGGTCAGAGTCAGCAGAGAGACCCTTCTCAAGCTGAGGATGGGTACGATGATATGCAAGGGGGATGGATGATCTAAGGCAGAAACCAAGCTGTACCTTTGCTGGTGGGCATGAAGTCCTTGGCTTTGTCTTTGCAGTAGTGGAGGCAACACGAGAGGATCAGGTCATCATTGTTCCCCTGGAGGAAGACAGTGTGAGAAATGCACTGGGCAGCAGGGGGTGCCAGGTGGAGAAGGCAAAATTATGTACTTTCAGGGCCATGTCCCAGAGTTCCTCCCGTGCATGCTCTGCCCTGCTTGGCCAGGTCTAACTGTGCTGTGTGATCTAGGGGACAAGGACTTCCCCTCCCTGGACCTTAATGGTGGTTGCCCTGTCAGCAGCAGACTGGCAGGCTTTCCTTTAGATTTCTCCGATCTGACAGTGGGTTGTGGTTTTCCCTTCCTGCTGGGGTCTCACCAGTTGGCCAGTGATGTCTTCACTGCGGAAGGCGATGGATTCAAGTTCATTGCCTCGGCTGGTGAGGGCTCGCAGGCAAGAGTCCCGACTTTCGAATCGCTGCTCAAGGAACTCGATGGACTTCCGGGCCTTTTCCTGTACCACACGGGCATAGCCTCCAGCACGGTGGTCTGTCTCCTGCCCCTTGGCAAGGCCATCCAGCTCATTGATCACTGATGAGACAAAGCCCACATGGTATTCATCTCAGCAATCAGCAACTGTTTCTGTCTCTGCCTTAGATCTCTGATTATCACAGCTAGCCCCTTTAGACTATAGAGCACACCTTCTTCCCACGGGAATCTTCTAGTGAAACCAGGGTAGAAGGGGAGTTTGAGAGGGCAAGAAGGGTTCTAGACTTTATTTTGGGTGGGGTGGTGGGTGGTACTGGAGACTAAACCCAGGCTCTTTACACTGAAACTAAATTCTCAATCCTTTATTTTGTTTTAAAATTTTAATTTATTAGTAATTTTAATGTATTTGATATAGAGTCTCACTATGCAGCTCAGACTCGTAGTGATCCTCCTGTTTTGAGCCTCCCCAGCACTGGGGTTACAGGTGTGCTCCACCACACCCAGTCTCAGTGGCTGGCTCAGCACAGCATGTGGACCAGGGATAGAACACCCGGTCCTTGCACTTGTCTAAGCAGGTACTTGGTCTGCTGAGCTATCTTGCTGACATCCCCACCACCAACTCTTTATTATTTGGAGCATCTCAATAAGTGACTAAGTTGTCCATGTTGGGCTCAAATTTGTGATTTTTCTGCCTCAGCCTCCCAGAGTGTTGGGATTACAGGTGTTTGCCACCACACCTGGCTAGGAAGAGTCCCAGAATTTCACACTGTCCTGTCCCCTTTCTGTCTCTTTCTTTGGGGCCTGCCCCCCCTGCTAGGAGGAACATAGGATTTTCTGGAGCAGCTGTACTCAAATACACTTGGCTCCTCTATTGCATCCCCCCTCCCTTTGAGACAAGGTCTCTCTATGCAGTTCAGCCTGGCCTTGAGCTCACTTTGTAACTCAGGCTGGTCTTGAACTTACAATAATCCTCCTGCCTCAGCCTCCTGAGTGCTGGGACTATAGGTGTGCATCGCCACGCTCAGCTTCTATTGCATTTTTAGTTACAGGATCAAATTAAAAGGGTTCCTCAGGAGAGGCAAGAATATATAGCAGCTGAAAGGAAAGTGAGGCACTCTCCCTCAGCTTCTTGGGCCTCTAACCAAGTAGAGGCAAAGTTCTACAGCCAACACCTCTAGCAGAGTACAGGGAAGTCACCACAGAGGAAGGGCAGTCATAGCTTTACTTGCAAGAGCCCTGGTATTCCTCAAAAACATATCCTGGGCACATTACCTCCTTGATACTACGTGTGTGTGTGTGTGTGTGTGCGTGTGTGTGTGTGTGTGTGTGTGTGTGTGTGCCTGCCTGCCTGCCTATGTGTCTGGGACATGGCTTTATTTTCTGGTGAAGATTCTTTCCAAAATTCCAGCCAAAAGCCTGAGGTCAAGTGGGAAATATGCACTCCTTGGGGGCTCCGGGAGAGTTTGGGGTCTGAGGCCTCTCCTTAGTAAAATGATTCATGCCTTGGGGAAGCGACATGAGCATGCTGTTCCATGGTGAGCCTGGCACTCATTGTCTGGGTATTCAGAGACATTTTCTGGAAAGGGCCAATGTGAAAGTACCCACATGATGCCCATGCGTTTAGTAACCTGAGGCTGCCACAGCCACATGATGCATGGCTGAGGCTGGGGAATAATGGTGGCTGCGTGTATGGTATAGCAAACAGAACATTAAACAGGAAAAACTGGTATTCTATCCCAAAATCTGCTTTCCTGCTTCCAAACTAAACAGGCTTCAAAGGGAAAGTTTGTTTGTGCTTCTGCACCAGGCAGGACTTCTCAATGCTGGGGTCAGGCCTAAGGAGCATAGAGCAGGTTAAAGAGCACAAGAAACAAGCAGGGAAAGCTGTCAGCTTAACCCTTTGCTGCTCTGGGAATAAGGCAGAGACTACCAAGGAACACATCTGTGAATAGGATCCCCCTTTATAGCCATGAGAGAGTGCAAGGACCTCCCCAGCTGAGGCAGGTTCAAAGAGGCTGGCCTGTCTGTACAATACAGCTATCAGTTCGGAATACTCTTGGGGATCATGTACTTTGCTCTGCATGTATCTTCAGTTTTCTTCGTTATTTCTCCCTCCCATGAAATTAGGATTTCTCTAGTAAAACCATAAGTTTCTCAGAGCAAACGCTGGATCTCTTAGGAACAAGAAGACTGAGCACACAATAGGGAGACAACCAGTGCTGGTGACTTAAGAGTTATGCTACCCTGGGGAGGTACCTGAGGTACCTTCTAGATTGTAGGGGGCTCCAGATAGGTCAGCAAGCACTACTGGTGGTATCTTTTCCTGACCATCTACCAAATAAAAAAATAAATAAATAAAGTTCATTTTTTTCTTTCCTCTAAAAACCTCCTGGGTCAGAGAACAGTGACATATTCTAAAAGTTAGCCCACCCCAGGACCCAGTGATGGAAGCAGGAAGCCAGGACAACATGATAGTCTTGCTGCTTGATCTTACTGACAGCAGTTGCTCTTCTTTTGAAGTACAGAAAATCTTTCTTTAGGTCTAAAGGCCTGAGAGTTTAAGAGGTTCTGGCCAGGCTGGCCACATGGGGAGGGGGAAGGAAGACGGGGAGGGTGGAGGCAGGGAGGAGGGCTGCTTCAGTGCCAACATTCTCAGGTGGTGCTAACGTGTTTCCCACAACCCCCCAGGGTTCTACAGGCTCTGCAGGGGCGGATGTTTCCTGCCCTTTGTTTCCACCCTCATCTGGCACTAAGACATTTGGGATTGGGAGGGAAGGCCCACTAGAACATCTTGGCATAGATGTCAGAGGTGGCTTGGCAGGCAGACTGCCAGTCTGGTGGCTTTTCCAGAAGACAGGGCTTTCAAACTTCTTCTAAGTGGCTGTGGAGAAGAGGGACATTTAACAGTCTGGGCTTCACAATCACATCTCCCAGATCCTCTGTGTCCACAGTACAGCCATCAGCTATATTAGTTATATCAACTATATTGGACAAGAGCCCAGAGCCTAAAGCCCACTCTGAGGATGACCCACCACAGAGCTCCAAGAATTAAGGGTGCCCAGTTTGTCTTCTGGAGGCAGCCCAGCTGTGCTCCTTTGACCAGAGGGTGGAAAAACAAGCTCACTGGGTCCTGAGATGCTGATCCTGTACCAGCACCAATGACCAGACAGTGGTAAGCACCCAAGTGGTAGAAATCCACAGGCATGAGCCAAGGCCACGCTCTGGAGGATTTCCATCAGCCTGGCCTTAGGGTGACACTAGCTAGAAGAATGCTACCTCGAACCAACAGAGCGATCATGAAAAGCTACAAGACAATCAGACCAAAGGCATCTAACCACTTCAAAATCCTCCCAGCCTCCCTGCCAGACCACCCAGCAGCACTGCCGTTATCTGCCAGGGCTGAGTGTTTACCAATAACGGGAACCAGCTTTACTGTTTTACTGCAAGCTTTATAAGGATAAAAACAAGGGCTGGGCTCATACAGCCTCTGGTTGCTGGGACACAGGAGTCCATTTGCTCAAGCAGTTTAAGCCATGGATCAGCCATAATAATTTGAACTGCTTTGATTATTAAACAATTTTCCCTGCCCCACGCATTCTCCACTTCCCTGCAAATCCTATCTTACACACGCACAACGGGGCTCTCCCTGCCTGGCCCCAGTCATGGGGCATGTGTGGAGGGGACTGCTGCCCATATGTAGGGCTATTCTACCCTCTTGCCTAGCTCACCGATGAGGGGAACCACCAGGATGTACTTCTTGCTCTCCAGCAGTTGGGCCAGACTGGCCAGGTGGTCAATGAAGCCATTGGTGTCTGGTACGAGGAACAAGGGTCTGATCTCCAGCTCCATCTGCCTCATCTGACTCTGGTCCTCCAGGACAGCCTATAGAGACACAGAATGGTAAGGGAGCCAGACAGTGAGCAGGCAAGCAAGTGTGGGGGGAGAGATCAGGGCCCCTGGCTGATAGTGCTTCAACATCCAGCCCCCAGGGACCTGTTCATCTTAAATGGGCCTGAGGGACAGCCCCAAAGGCTAACAAAGCTCTAACAAAGACAAAGACCAAACCCTGGCTAGGATTAAGAAATGATATTGATAATACTAAAAATAACAGTTCTCTGAAAGTAGGATTTTGGGTTAAAAATCAAGAGGAGAGTTAAGTTCCATGGGTATGAATGTAGTTTCACATAAGTCATTTAGATAACACACATGAAAGTACTTCTCAGTCCTGACACTTAACCAATATCTGAATAGAATGTTTTCTTTCTTTTTTGTATTTTAGGGAACGGTCTACAGAGTGTTCAGCGTCTCCCTACTAGTCCAAGGGCTGGGATTACAGGCTTGTGCCCCATGCCCAGTCTCAACTGCAATCTCACCAAGGCCCAGGGGTGGGGCCTGGCACAGTAGGCCCAGGGATCAAATCCCCGACCCCTGTGCCTGCTTGCAGGTGCTTTAATCTGCTATTTGACTGGCTCAGAATTTGTTATTTCAATTTACCTCATTTTGTACTTAAACAAAACAAACAAATTCACTAAAAACATAACTTAAACCCAAAGTAATGTAAAAAACATGGGATTAGCTGACTGGTAATAACTAGTCTTCTGCAGAAGTAGCAGGGGTCTGTGCAAGTGAGATGAGTTAAGACTGAACTCACAAGTGCAAAGAGCTGATCAGAACTGTTGCCACCACTCTCCTTTTGCCTGGTTCAGTAAATGTTAAGTTGTTGTTTTTTTTTTTTTTTTCTGTTCTACTTCTGCTCCTTTGCCACAAACCTGCACAAGGGATACTATTATTGACTTCATCCTTTTCTATTTTTTAATTTTTATTTATTTATTTTTGGCGGAACTGGGGGACTTCATCTTTTTTTTTTTTTTTTTTTTTTAATTTTTTGGTGGAACTGGGGATTGAACTCAGGCCCTTGCGTTTGCCAGTAAGCTCATATTCCACTGAGCCATCTCCCTGGCCCTTCATCCTTTTTTTTTTATGTGTGTGTGTGTGTGTGTGTGTGTGTGTGTGTGTGTGTGTGTGTCCAGCTCAGCCCCCCAGGGGGTGGGGCTGGCTGGCTGGCATGTGGTGCTGGGGGATTGAACCGCGGTCCCTGTGCTTTGGTAAGCTTGTTCTAAGTAGGTGCTTTAGACCACTGAGCCATCTCACCAGCCCCCCTTCATCCTTTTTTAAAAACTGACTTTAAGTCATTTTTTCCCTTAGTTTCTTTTTTGGTGGAACCAGGGATTGAACTCAGGCCCTCACACTTGCCAGGGAAGCGCTTATTCCACTGAGCCATCCTCCCGGTCCTCCCTTAGTTTCTTTTTCAGGAATGCTATCTGGAATATCAAGGATTTGCTACCCTAGTTATACGTGTACTAGTGCAAGCTTAATTGCCATAATAAAAGTCAGAGTACTAGTCAGTCTCCCCTGGACCACTTACAATCACTGCATGTGACACCAGTGGTCTGTGTATCATTCCTCATCATTCACACACACCCAGGGCTTTCTGTCCCACAGGTTTCATCTCTCTCAGGGAAGCTCCATGTTCTTACATTTGACAGTCTCACATGTACAGCAATAGTCCATCAACTTAGGTTCTGGGTATGTCTGTCACTACAGAACAGGATCATTACCATGTTGCTTCCTCTTCTGGGGAACCATGGGTAAGAAGCAAACTGATCTGGTATTTGCCAAGACCGTTGTATTCCCTAAGTAGGGAATCCATGGGGACCAACATATACCTGGCAAGGAGCTAGCAGGTGCCAGTAACCTTATCCCCTCTCACGGCCTTCTCCCATTCAACTATATGGACACAGATGCGTGCCAACTGAGGTGGGGCCCACAGTGCAGGGTGTGGCCATAAACAGTCAGTGAGGAGGCTGCTCAGGCTTCACTGACAGTAACAGTAAAACTGAAAGGGCATGCCTTCAAATGATGGGGGTGGCTTCTCTGTGACCTGACAGGGACCTTTCCCTATGAGTAAACTGTTGCTGCCACTGCCACCACAGCTGGTGGAAGGCACAGGCCAAGAGACTCTGGCAGCATGAGAAATAATGCTGAGATCTGCTGAAGTCTTCCTGCTGATCTCACGCCATGAAGGGAAAGTACCATTGCTGTAGGCCACCTTCTCAGGGAACTTGGGGCAATGCCCCTCCCCAGAGGGCTGCCAAGGAGAGGGTAACATACATTTCACCAATCTTGCTTGGGCATTTCAGAATAGGCAATGATCCTGCTGAGGTTCAGTGGCTAACTCACTGTCCTTCTTTGTCATACAGACAAGCATTAACACTCCCGCTCCTCTTTTTTCCAGGCTTCTGTTCACTATGTTGCTTTTCTGCTGTTAGGAACACTTTTTATGGGACCCTAGGTCCTGAATCTCTATCTTTCTGGGTGAGATGACAGAATAAACATTACCACTTGTTTTGAGGACGGAGGACGACACTGGCATCTGTAGTGACAGGGACTCAGGTTCTAATTCAGCACTGTACTTTCTAACCACTGAGGAAAATATCAGCCTTTCTGCCTTGAGCCATGACACATCAGCCCTGGCTTGACTCTACTAAAGAGGTGGAACTGGCTGCTGTTTGTACCCTGTGTGAACAGTTAGCTCCTAACTTTGTATCATCTTATCCTTATGCTAGCAGTAGGCAGGAGGGCTATTAAGCCAGGTAGCCAGAGGGCAAAGTGAGGCTACCTGGGTGTTTTTATGATAGAATAGAAGCAAACTCTAGGAGCCATATCTAGGGAAACTTTAACTTCCCCGGGTTCTGGAGGCTTTGGCTTGTGGCCAGAAAGGTGAGCTGGCCAGGGACTCTTAGGAAGGTAACCTTGCTGGCTTCCCTGGGGATGGGATAGGGTCAAGCTGCGTGCAGTGGCCAAAGCTTGGCTGCCCTCATCTCGTCCCAAGGATACCTTCAGACAACTTCCCTTAACCTGGCTCTGCCCAGTGAGTCACCACACAACTGCTTCCTGTTCCCCCCATGCCCTCACGGAATCTCAGGAGGTCAAATTAAGCTGTGCCTCCTCTTCTGCGGTACCAGTGGGCTTTGGGGAAAGTCATATTTGGGTTATAGTTCTTTTAAATTTAAAAGAATGGCAGACCAAAGAGGGCTTGAGACTCCCCAGGAACTCTTCTATGGGTGTACACATTTCTAGCTCTTTCTCAGTTGTGTGTGTGTGTGTGTGTGTGTGTGTGTGTGTGTGTGTGTGTGTAGTATTTGCCCTCCTAACTTTTCCAGATTTTACCCGTCAGATTCCTGGCAGCTGTGCATAGCGCCTGTGTTGTCTGTCACGTCCCATTCCAATCTCTGGGTTGCACAGTGAAAGAAGGACACAGGATACACAGGGAGTGAAAAAGTGATGTTGGTGGGGAGAGTGCCAAGTCCCCACTCACAGCCATAGGACACTTGGGGAGAAGGGGGAAGCATGCTGCTGTGGAGTTCAGAGGCCGGTAGTGAGATTTATTTTTGTTTGTATGAGTAAAAAGCTGCAGAAGCCTATGGTGGGGTGAGGGGGGCGCAATCGGAATGCTGAGATTCAGACAGACTGCCCCTGGCCTGGAGTCAAGTGGGCTGGCCCGGAAGGAGAGTTCCACAGGAACCCTTCTAATGGCAGTTAAGCCTGGGACACTCTGGTCCTTAGACAGTGCACTGGGAACCTGAGGAAAGTGCAGGCACTCCAAATTAGACAGGTGACAATAAGGCTCATCATGTTGGTATGAAGTATGAATGAGAGAAAGGATTTAATTCTGTTTCTAGAAGGTGCTAAATAACCAGCTTTCTTTGAGTATAGCAGCTTCCTGGAGTAAGCTGGCAGAGACTGGGAAAAGATATATACACTAATACCTAAAGAGGAGGCTAATAGGCTTGGGTCCTCAGAAAGGACTTACAGGTTAAGTTCCTTCTATACAGTGGGGATGATTTTATAATGCTGACCCACTGAAAATTTAGACATTGAGGATTACGAATAGAAGCAATGCAAAGAGCTGACACAGAAGTCGTGGAGCTTGGAGAACCCAGATCATAAAGCAGGATCAAAGCAGGAAAAGGCCTTTTTAGGTCCTTCCTTCTGCTCAGGGGCTCCATAGGAGTGTGACTGCTTTCTTCCTTCTTAGAAGCATGCATTCCTAGGCCCTAGCTCTAGCCAGAGCAGTTTTCACTACAAATCAGAGGTGTTTTTTTTTTTTTTTTAAATATGATCATTTTATTTTATTTTTTTGCTGTTTTATTTTTATTTTATTGAGAAATAAATATGAATGAGACAGTTTCAAAGCTGAATAATAGGACAGTTTCGATAATCAATACATTGTACATTGTTATCTTCTTTATTTATTTTTTTTTTTGGCAGCCAGAAGATGCCTTGAGGGCATACTGGTTTGGCATGAGTATCTGGGTTCGAACCACAGCATCTTGAGCATGAATGCTTTGTTTAAGCAGGCACTTAAACAACTGAGCTAATGGGCAGGCCCCCGTTATCTTCTTAGTGGTTATCCATAGTACAAGAAGCAGACAGGATATCCTTTCCAAACACTGTTAGTACACCTCTTTCTTCTCATTGAATTAAGTGAAAGTAGCTGTATATTCCATTCTAACTATTCTGTATATATAAATACAAAATGATCTTTCCTTTAAATCCCCCCCTTTTTTTTTGTTTAGTTCTGTCACAGGTGAATATTCTACTGGCATCTAAATACTATAAGTGTTTGAATTCAGCTAAACAATCCAACACTGTCTAGCAGTCTATAATATTAGTGGGTTATCCTCAGAACTTATTGACTTGAGCCTTTTACAGCTCATCGTATTAATATGGCTTTACTTTATATACCTCGTTTTTATACTTTTCTGCTGGATAGTTAAGACCAAGATAAAGCAAGACCTATATACCAAGAAATGTAACTT